CGATCTTCCGTCCGTCCGTCCGTCCGTCCGTCCGTCCGTCCGTCCGTCCGTCCATCTATCTATCTATCTGGCTACACACGCACAGACACACACACATCTATCTATCTATCTATCTATCTATCTATCTGGCTACACACACCTATCTATCTATCTGGCTACACACACCTGTCTGTCTGTCCGTCTGTGTCTGTCTGTCTGTCTGTCTGTCTATCTATCTATCTATCCATCCATCCATCCATCTATCTATCTATCTATCTGGCTACACACGCACACACATCTATCTATCTATCTATCTATCTATCTATCTATCTATCTGGCCACAAACACACACCTATCTATCTATCTATCTATCTATCTATCTGGCTACACACACACAGACACACACACACATCTATCTATCTATCTATCTATCTATCTATCTATCTGGCTACACACACACACATCTATCTATCTATCTATCTATCCATCCATCTGGCCACACACACACACACCTATCTATCTATCTATCTATCTATCTGGCCACAAACACACACCTATCTATCTATCTATCTATCTATCTATCTGGCTACACACACACACATCTATCTATCTATCTATCTATCTATCTATCTATCTATCTATCTATCTATCTATCTATCTATCTATCTATCTATCTATCTATCCATCCATCTGGCCACACACACACACACACACCTATCTATCTATCTATCTATCTATCTATCTATCTGGCCACACACACACACAGTATATAAAATGGCTCAAATACTTCTTAAATGCTTTAAAATACTCAAAAATCTATATTTAATTTTATTGATTGATTGATTGATTTATTGGAGTATTTAGCAAGCGTGCAAGTTATTTCCTTGGTTTATTTTGTTGGTCTTTAATTTTTAGTTAAGGCATGATAGAAATTTTCCAAGACATTTTTAATGTGCCCTTGCCATAAAAAAAGAAAAAAATTGAAATCTAAAGTGCAGAACCTATCATCAATACTATGTCATATTTGATCACTCACCTTGTATGGCGATGCTTCTGGTGTCCTGTAGTATAAAGTCCCCTGACGAGACCTGAACAGTGACGGTGACCATGCCCTCGGTGCTGAACGTGTGAGAAACACTGCTGTCCAACGTAATTATGGGCTAGCACCACAAATGTAGTGGATACAAAACAAAAACAATCAAAACACAATCCAACGGCACACAGAAAATCAAATTTTTTGTTATTTGTAAGCTCAATGACTTGAAAAGGAAACTCTTTTAAAATGAATAGCACCAACAGCTTTATTGATGTTTCAGGGCAAACAAGCATAAACTAAAGAACACATCTACTGTAAATACCACAAACACGACAAGAACTACATTATTAACGGTTCATTGCTCCTGTTCTGTTTATCTTCTACCGTAAAATGTCTCGGAGGCCTTTGCCCAACAAAGCGAGGCAGAAAATCTGTAATTAAGTGCTGGTTGTACCTCCGTGTTGTTCCCCAGCCACCAGAAATAGGTGAGTGTTCTGAAATTAGAAGGCCAGACCACTGCCGTCAAGTTCACCTCCTTATTCTTAATGACCACATATGGAGCCAGCAGCTGAATATGCTCCACAGGGCCTGAAACACACACACACACACACACACACACACACATAGACAATACAAGAACATCAAACAGGGCAAGGGGTGTGCAAAAACTAAATATTTAGCAAAATCAACTAGCCCGTGGGATGAATAACTAGTTCACTATTTGGTCTTGTATAATTAGACTGGTTTCGGCTTCACCTTTCCCTGATTGGACGCTGTTCAAAAACAGCTAGACGGAAACAGAACGCAGGGGTCTTGAGACCTGTTTTTAAAAGTTTGAGTATTTTTTACTTGGCACAGCATTTTAAAAATGCAACACTCGCCGTGGGATGCTCAGAAGTCAGTCAGCATGTGTATAGCTGTAGCGGATACATGAATTTAAACAAGTAACTTTTCCAAGAGAGTTTTAATGAGCTAACAGTCTAACACCTAAAGTACAACACGCTAACTGAAGCATTAGCAATAAAAATGCCAAAATAATAAAAAAAAAAGGTTAGAAAGATTATAAACTATTTGGACAACTAGTCAACTATTGTGACCCATACATAGTAAGTATGCACAAAGACATGAACAAATGACCAAATGAGCATATATCATTAAAATTGGTCCTTACTATAATTTATGTCATCTATCATATATTTTACTTGGCACAGCATTTTAAAAATGCAACACTCGCCGTGGGATGCTCAGAAGTCAGTCAGCATGTGTATAGCTGTAGCGGATACATGAATTTAAACAAGTAACTTTTCCAAGAGAGTTTTAATGAGCTAACAGTCTAACACCTAAAGTACAACACGCTAACTGAAGCATTAGCAATAAAAATGCCAAAATAATAAAAAAAAAGGTTAGAAAGATTATAAACTATTTGGACAACTAGTCAACTATTGTGACCCATACATAGTAAGTATGCACAAAGACATGAACAAATGACCAAATGAGCATAGATCATTAAAATTGGTCCTTACTATAATTTATGTCATCTATCATATATTCATTCATCTGAGATCTCTCTGCATTGTTGTGCAATACTGTGTTCTTGGCTTATTTAAATAGTCCAACCAATATTTATTTTATTAAATAATTCTGCTTCGGTATTTTAATACACATCAGGAAATAAATTGTGGACCTAATTGCTCTCATCTGATCACAAGTGCCCACCCTCTGTTTGTTTGTGAAAAGTGGAGCTAAAAGCACCGCAGTCTACCACACCTGTGGAGTTGATAGACACATGCAGATTTTGGCAGAGCAACTATGAAAGTCACCTACCTAGAGTATTCTGCACAGTTTGTGTTTAAGAGATGCTTATTCAAATGTTTGCAAACCAGTGCCCAGCCACTTTATTGTCTATGTGGCTACCAATGTATCTGTATAAATTTGAAGATTATTTAACAGAGTAGACAAGACAGTCAATAGTATTTGTTGTATAATTTGTGTGCTACATAAAGTAGGATACGGAACCATAGTGAAATAATCATTTTTATTGCATTTTTAATTATTATTATATAATTATTTTTGTCTTAGTAAGAATTACTTGTACTTGTAGTGTACTTCAAATCTTATATATATATATATATATATACATACATACATATATACATACATACATATGACTGTTATTCGATATTGTATTTAAAGTTAATATACTGTAAATGTGTTAAACTGCAACTTCTTTATTACAAACGTGTAATTACAAATATATTGAAATACATGACATACAAGTTTGTAATGTAAATAGTGTAAGTAACATAAATAGAAATGACAAAGTATATTTTAGTTAAATGCTTGTCAGTGCAACAAAAGTAATTATGAAATTACATAAAGACATACTTAAGTTAACAAGTTATTCTTAAGTAGGTTAAAAAAGCTATATAAAAGCTCAGTGAACTGCATATAATATAAATATAATACATTTTCATTTAACTGCAATTGACAATTCAATTAAATGAATAAAACCAATTAAGTTTCTGAAAACATTACATTTTGTTCACACTTTAATATATTATTTTAAAGCATATTATTTACGTAATAAATACTCTTTCTGAAAAGTGTCTTTTGAAAAATTATTTTTCACATATCTACCAACATTTACTGAAATGTAAGCTTGAACTAATTGACTAATGGGTGACACTTTATTTTAAGGTGTCCTTGTTACACGTTACATGTACTTACTATTATAATAACAATTAATTATGCATAATTACATGCAAGTAACCCTAAGCCAAACCAAATTCCTAACCCTAACCATATAGTAAGTACATGCAGTTAATTAATATTACTCAGTATAATTACACTGTAACAAGGACACCTTAAAATAAAGTATAACCGACTAATGAATTAGGAAATATAAACCTAATTCAAGATATATTTTCTGACAAACAAGTCTTATTATCTTATACAGTGCTATACACAAATAAATTCATCAAAGATGTTTAGATATTTTTACTAAAAGTTAAGACAAAAATTCTACAATGTTATAATATAATGTAACCTCAGCAAAATGGAGAATGTAATACAATGCACCTGAAATAACAAAGCACCCAACTTCATGACCAAAAATAAACACTGAAGTAGTAACTCATTTGTGTGTATATGTGTGAAACCTACATGTCACATGCAGGTAGAGGGCTGATGTGTCGAACCCGAGGCTGTTCTCCGCCTGCACTGTTACTCTGAAGATCCCAGCACTGCGGTACACGTGCCTGATGCCCTCCTGCGTCCAGCTCAGGTTGGAGTAGGACACGGCCGTACCGTCTCCAAAATCCAGCTGAATGTTTGTCCTCATAGAGTCGCCCTAAAAACAACATGCAGAGTCAAGTCTAATTATTACAACAACTCTTTAGCACACTTTCCTTAATCACTGAGTCTGGCAGCTGCGACCAAAAACAGCTGCAGGTAACGTCACCATACTGCTTACACAGACACCGTCCCATCTGTTTTCAAACACAAAGCATTGTTTTCAGCCCATGAGTTCATTCCTGCCGTAACTTTGCTTCCTATGTGAAATCAGACAAAGGAGCTGCTTATTTACAGAGAAAATTAATTACCTCTCAGAATGTATTTCAACTTCCTGTGTGAACCCGTCATATTACTTTTGATATGTAATATATATGTTATACTCTATATTGTGTTGGTTTGGCTTACTCATCCTGATGGGTCAATTGCAATCCACCGCAATCATAATTGCTGTTTATGAGATACGATATTGCATGGTGAATATAACCGTAAATATGAGTCATATGGCCTTGAGTGAGTCTGCTGTAAAGTATTCTGTCCTTTTTGTAAGCTAAAAGAACTTCATAATATTTTTTTTTTACAGTTTAATATGTGGGTGGGAGGAAATAATGAATCCTCAATAAATGTAATTTCTTGATTCTATTAGATCCAATCCAAACAGTAATAACAGTCTGCCGGATATAGACTTTTGACTATTGGGATAAATCGTGCAATATCATTTACATATACAATATTAGCATATGATATATATATATATATATATATATATATATAATATTTTTATTTTTTATTTTTTTACTTTTTTTACACAAGCCAGACATACAGAGTTAAAGCAAGATGTCTGACTTTATCTGAGCATTCTTGAGTAAGGTATTAAGGTTAGCAGAACCTTTTTAGCTTTAACTACAGTTATATTAAAAATATTGGTTAAATTAAAATGAAAATATGCAACATATCATGATATATTTTTAAGTATATCATCAGGCATGTGATCAAACAGAAGGCAAACATATTATTATTATTATAGAAAATATATATATACAATCCAATAAAGAAACAAATCAATAATTAAAATAAATTATAATAATGATAATAAAAATAAGAATAAGAATTTTACACAAAAAAATGTAACATTTCAATACTAATATTTATGGCTGTCTTAATTTAATTGCTCTCAAATGTTAAACTGTGGAGCTTCATTACTCAAAATTGCATAATGTTCCCCCTCTGAATCACAATTTAAGTCAGAAAATATGGAAATCACAGTCCAATAGTACACAAATGAAAGGCCCAATAGCAATCCACAGATATTTGTGTTTATAAGCCTTGCATATCTTCTGACACTTGAACCGCCACTGGTGCAACGCCTGAAACATCTGCCCAAAAAACCAACCATTAGCACTAGTTATAAATATAAAACTGCTAAAACAGCCAGTTAAAAACATCAAAAACAGAGAAAACAAAGAAAAGGATAAGAACGTTGAGATTAGGTTGAGTTCATGCCTTGAACCATCCCAAAACACTGTGCTTCAGGCTCTACATCTGGCTATGGGTGCAAGAGAAGCGTACTGTATGTGTGTGTGTGTTTGTGTGCGCGAAATTCCCAAATCCATGCTTATGCATCCCCAAATCTCCCTCCTTTCTCTCTTTCCGCCATTAACACATTGTAGCCTAATGCTATTGGGATATTAATTTGTAACACTGCATTAGCAGCACATGAAGGAAGGGGGTGTGTGATTCTGCCCTGCATAGTGACAAATCCAAAGCTGGTTTAGTCCTGTCTGTTTACTTTTAGGCACTGCTGACTGTGAAAATCGGTCCGCCTCTGTGCGTTTCTGCGCAAGCATGTGCACCGGGTTGCTTTTAAGATATTTCATGCCACTTTGTGCAGAAAATCATAACTACACTGGGAGGAGGAAGGACAAGATGACTGACAGGAGGAACAGTTTGTATAATGACGGTCAGGACACAATTTCTGCTGAGCTCATGAGGTTCAGACAAAGCCCTTTTTGAGGGAAGTCAGTTCACGCAGTTTAGCTGCTGCCATTTTGGAAATGCCCCTCAGCAATGCCCCCCTAGGGAACTACTTCACTGCATGAAGGAATGAATGAATAACGATTTTCATTAGCATTTGTATCTGCTTGTCCAGTAAAAATATCAACACATGATTAATACATTGCACATTTAAGAAGCAAAATAGGGTAAGATAGTAAAACTTAAAATTATTAGAATACAATAATACAATACAGTTCAAAAGTTTAAGGTCAATAGTTCTGTGCGATTGTGCGCAAGCATGTGCACCGGGTTGCTTTTAAGATATTTCATGCCACTTTGTGCAGAAAATCATAACTACACTGGGAGGAGGAAGGACAAGATGACTGACAGGAGGAACAGTTTGTATAATGACGGTCAGGACACAATTTCTGCTGAGCTCATGAGGTTCAGACAAAGCCCTTTTTGAGGGAAGTCAGTTCACGCAGTTTAGCTGCTGCCATTTTGGAAATGCCCCTCAGCAATGCCCCCCTAGGGAACTACTTCACTGCATGAAGGAATGAAGGAATAACGATTTTCATTAGCATTTGTATCTGCTTGTCCAGTAAAAATATCAACACATGATTAATACATTGCACATTTAAGAAGCAAAATAGGGTAAGATAGTAAAACTTAAAATTATTAGAATACAATAATACAATACAGTTCAAAAGTTTAAGGTCAATAGTTTTTTTTTTTCTGGAGAGAAATTAATAATTTTATTCAGCAAGGATGCATTAAATTGATAAAGACATTGAGTAAAGACATTTAGTGTTACGAAAGATTTCTATTTCAAATATATTTTGTTCTTTTGAACGTTCTATTAAAAAAAGGAGACAGACAGACAGACAGACAGACAGACAGACAGACAGACAGACAGACAGACAGACAGACTGCTTCTATGTTTTCCAACCTGAAAACCTTGAGCTGCTGTCCCTGTTTAAAAAAGAAAAAAAAATACTGTGTTGCACCTTAAAGGCATTAAATATTAAGGTCCATTTGATTTGCCTAAGAAACAGCCCGGCTCTGACCCTCATGAATATAAATAGATGGAATTCTTAGCCCATCTCTCTCTCTCTCTCTCTCTCTCTCTCTCTCTCCCTCTCTCTCTTAACGAAAGGAATAAGCCCTCATTTTCTCATCTCATCATACTGTAATGTGACAACTCTGCTGTGGTGAGACGCCTAGGGAGAAACACTTTACCTGGAATGAGCATGTGTGAGCGTGTGTGTGTGTGTGAGAGAGAGAGAGAGAGAGAAAGAAACCAAGAGAGAATATGTGTGACCATGTGTGCATTGCACCTCAATGAAAAGCTATTCCCCAGTAGGCTTGTAATATGTATCCGGCTTGCACCATACCATCTGTACAGAGTGAAGACTTTTCATCTGCCAGAGCTCCAGCACAGCTCGGAGCAGAGGACAACAAATTATGGAAAGATTCTAGAATGTCAAAATGACCTGTGTGGGTGTAAATGGTCACATATAGAGCTCAATGGTAGTCTCACTTAGCCAGACTGGTCTGAAAGTCTGGTCCACCAACAACAGCTCACTTAGACCCGAATCTGACCATCATGTAAAGTAAACACTCATGGTTATAGACGAGTCAAGTTTTCTATCAGTTGACAAGTAAAAAGCACATACTATTTTCAACTGCAAATCCAATGAATACTTTGTCTATATCAGTGATTTTCAAACGGTGATTTGCAATCTAAAATAGGCTGCAGATCTGTTATGTCAGGGTTGAGAATAGCAGATAAAAAACAATGCTAAATGCAAATGATAAAATTCATCTAAAAATATAAACATGCCTTTGTAGGAAATCAAAATAAAAAAGTGCATCAAATTCTAAGGCACTATAGGTAAAAACAGATATTTATTTTATTTTATTTAATACACTGGTAAACCTTGAGATTTTGAGCTGTTTGGCTTTTCATAATGTGTTGTTTCAGACTAGTGGAAAACATTTCGAAATTACACTTTTATTTTATTGCACTTTATGTACTTGTGTCTGCAGATTTCAGATACAATACACATCTTTAAAGATCCGCCCCCCCCTCCTCAATTTATTTTTCTCTCATGCACTGAGCAAGAACTCTCCACTTCAGTAGCACTTACCAAACTTTATTCTTGTATAATATTCAGAAGGTTTTTACACATGGGGTTTGTTCATGTGTACACACACACACAGTTGTGGTCAAAATTTTACATATCTGCAGTATTATGGGATCATACAAAAAAGTACAAAAAATAAGTTTGCATATAGTCCACAAGAGAAAATAATAGTTGAATTTATAAAAATGACCAAGTTCAAAAGTTTACATGCGCTTGAACCATAAAACGGTGTTGTTACCTGGATGATCCAAAGCTGTTTTTTTTTTTTGTGATTGCTGTTCAGGAGACCCTTGTTTGTCCTGAACAATTAGAAAACAGTTAAAAAACTTCAGGTCCCACAAATTGTTTGGTTTTCCAGCATCTTTCGGGTATTTGAACTCTTTCAAACAATGACTGTATGATTTGACAAGAATTTTGCACCTGACTATAGCCAACTTTTAGATTTCTGGCGATTAGTGCAAATTGAAAATAATGCATCATTTGCATTCCAAAAACTTGGAATACAAAAATGTCTGTCCTTCTTAATGTAATCAGGGAAGAATGGTGATTAGTATTTATATCTATTATCTATTATCATATATTAGTACCTATTCACTTGGGTGTCTTGCCTTAAAATAGAGAAAATGCCTCTCATATATTTTGTTAGTAATGTCAAAGTCTGTGTGCCTAATTATAACTTTATTATATTTAATAAAAAATAATACTAATTATAACTATTTATTTACTTTATAATAATGTTTTTATATTAATTGTACAAAAAAATATAATTATGCACATTGCTGGGCCAACAAGAATATAGGAATTTATAAAAAAAAAAAACTGTAAAACACTGTAATTTTAACATTTATAAGAACTAAGAAAATAAAACATAAGAACATTAGATACTGTTTTTGCCACTTTATGTCTGATGTTAAATCTGAGTCCTGAAGCAAAACTAATTGAGAACCACTGCTTTGGCTGACAGAAATAATAATTTAATCTGCTACATGGACATCCTGATATCTGATCATTGATAATCTGCTCACATGGAGTTGGCGCATCAATTTAATAATTATTACTGTATAATTTAGGTCTTGACTCAATACCAGGCTCATAATTATAGCTTCTGGCCATGCAGCATTTTAAATGATCAGATCAATGAAACTATCATTTTCCCTTAGCTGAGTTCATCAGATTCAGATGACCATCATCATGATCTTACCTCCTCTAGCCGCACCAGGAAGGTCACATTGCTGCCCATATTGGCTGTGAGTTTGTCATCACGGGTTGTCAGGACTAAACCTCGTGGGGGGCGGTTCAGACATTGCTGTTTCCTGGCTGTGTACATCTCCTTCACTCCTTTTGTGCAGTTATTCGCAACCACTTTACGATACCTGAAAAACACAACGAAATCAAAAACTAGTTTGAAATGTGTCTCTCTTTTGAGAGAAATTATTTGATGGTTTGACATTATCTAACTCAGTGACACTCACATTGTGACTCAGTGTCTGAATACTTATGGGTCATTGTATTTATCCATTTGAATACAACATGCCTGACAGATCCATTCTGAGCAGCTCTGGTTTTTTGTTGGAGGATGAATTGGTTTTGACCACAATTTATGTGGCAGCTCTGACACAATCTCTGAAAATGATAATCACATTCTTTCTCTGTCTCTTTCTTTGTCTGTAATTTCGCACTCTTGCTCTGAATGGATATGCTTTCTGACTGATGTTGGTTTTAAATTAGGTTTAAATGAAGTCTTTCCATTACACAGTGTTATCTGTCCAGCTAGGTCTCTTTGTATGGATTGTCTGTCTAGAACGTTGTCGTAAAGACGGACACCACAATCTCCAGAAAGTTTAAAAACCTGCTCACGTCAATATGGCTTGTGCCTGCTCATCAGCACAATACGTTTAAATCATGGCTCACTTAATAAAAAAAAACACTTTCCTAAAACAAGATTGGTTTAGTGCTAGAAGAGTAAAACCCCAGCATGATGAAGAAGAGTCTACATACTGTATATACATGCAGAAGAAATATATGATTATAGGTAGTTTTGCCCTTGGCTACAGCTTTGAGACAACGTAGAAGGGTTGAACCAAAATGCAGGCAGACAGTTTCCATCCCCTCTTCTCTCAAAACCATAATCACTGCAAAACAAAACAAACAAGGAAAAAAAATCTCACATACATTATTATTTCTTCAAGATCTGGTTTGTGACATTTTCTGAAGTCGTTCCCTGATGCCTATCCTGTAAAACATTCTCTTAACTACCTGTACATTAATTCATGCATAGCGGCACATCTTGATAATATAATATATATATATATATATATATATATATATATATATATGCCAAATAGCAGGGTTATTATAGTAACTTAAGACCTAAACTAATTTTAATTTAGTTAAACTTGGTGTACTAAAACTTTTTCACTAAAAATGTCTGTCAAAAATTTCACTAAAAATGAAATAAAATAAATAAATAATAAAAATAAAAAAATACTATATGGACATAAAAAAACTAATAAAGATGGCAAAAATATGTTTGCAGGTCCGATTTAGCCATCAGTGAATAAATGTCAACATAAGAAGAGTAAAACCCCAGCATGATGAAGAAGAGTCTACATACTGTATATACATGAAGCTTACCCAGTGCTGTTGAGGTAGTTTTGCCCTTGGCTACAGCTTTGAGACAACGTAGAAGGGTTGAACCAAAATGCAGGCAGACAGTTTCCATCCCCTCTTCTCTCAAAACCATAATCACTGCAAAACAAAACAAACAAGGAAAAAAAATCTCACATACATTATTATTTCTTCAAGATCTGGTTTGTGACATTTTCTGAAGTCGTTCCCTGATGCCTATCCTGTAAAACATTCTCTTAACTACCTGTACATTAATTCATGCATAGCGGCACATCTTGTATTCAAGCATATCCCTCTTTTATGCCCTTGAGACAATTGCAGCCATGTGAGATGTATTAATTCTGGGATGACAAATGTCTTTACTGCTCTGAGAGCTGCAGGCATCAATGTATGTCCTTAACATCTTTCAATTCTCTCTTCTCCCAGAAGCCCTGGAACCTGCTGAAGGGAATGTCTGTTCATATATCACCAGTGACTTTGATTTATCAATTAATTACTGATCCACAACAAAACCCAGCAGACCATATATATATATATATATTTTTTTTTTTTTTAAGTTTCATTCAGTTGAAGAAAGTTAGCTGCGAACCAGCAAGTTACCTCTGCAAGAAGATCCCCCCCCAAAAAAAGTGCAGGTCATAATTTTTTCAATGTTTCAAGCGGAGGTTTGGCTGGGTATCATGCATGTAAAAATGATACAGAATATTATGCTTCCGAAAAAGTCGAATCTAAAGGAAGCAAATACAACGAAAAGTGTCCAAGACTGTTCCCTGAGGTACACCAAAAGGTAATGGTATTGTAGAGGAATAAAAATTTACAACCTCCAACAAAAATGTTCTACCAGAAAGATATGATTTTAACTAGTTCAACGTGGTGCATTAAATTCCTACCTATTTACGTAACCGTTCAAGCTGTTCAATGGTGTCAAAGGCCATGCTTTTTTTACTCTGGCTTTTGAATCATTGTAGTTTTATTAGTTTACATGTGTTCTTGTTGATTTTATTATATGTGACCCTGGGCCACAAAACCAGTCTTAAGTGTCAATTTTTCAAAATTGAGATTTATACATCACATGAAAGCTGAATACATAAGCTTTCCATTGATGTATGGTTTGTTAGGTGTTTGTATAGGACAATATTTGGTCGAGATACGATTATTTGAATATCTGGAATCTGAGGGTGCAAAAAAATTTAAATATTGAGAAAATCGCCTTTAAAGTTATCCAAATGAAGTCCTTAGCAATGCATATTACTAATCAAAAATTAAGTTTAGATATATTTATGGTAGGCAATTTACAAAATATCTTCATGAAACATGATCTTTACTTAATATCCTAATGATTTTTGGCATAAAGGAAAAATCCATAATTTTGACCAATACAATGTATTTTTGGCTATTGCTACAAATATACCCCAGTGACTTAAGACTGGTTTTGTGCTCCAGTGTCACATATGTTGTTTTATTTGTCAGGGTTTATGTACAGCACTTTGGTCAGCACTGGGTGTTTTTAGATGTGATCTAGAAATAAATGTGCCTTGCCTTAATTTTGATCAAGTCCATGATCATCTTTGAAGTGGATTTTTGAATAATGTGTGACAGTGTGAATCTTTTATATTGTATGATAGTAATGATGTATGACAGTCATGACATTTCTTATACTTTTTTAGAGAATAACTTGGACTTGCTAATACAAGTTAGCATTCAATTTCCTTTGATCTTACACAAGTAACAAGACATAGTTAGTTTCTGAATTACAATTTGCAAATACTGACTGGTTTAGTAATGACACCCAATAAAGCTACTTTCAGATCATGATGTAAAAATCTAGAAAATGAAAGGCACTTCTGATCTTTTAAATATGACTTCTAGCAAAGATATGCTTCTATGTCACTCTCATTTACATCATAATCAAATTGAAACTCAGCTGTTCTATAAAATGCTTGGTGTAATGTAGTTTTGGGCAATGGCAGCAATATCAGGGACAATCCTTTGTTATGAAAAATACAAGTTGTAAAATGAATTGGAAAATAAATAGAAATGATTCAGTTCTTATTAAAAACTGTAAAAGTAACATTATTTAATTTTAATATTTAAAAAATAAAATGGAAAGCAGATAGGACAAATGTAACATTCAACACTTTAAAAAATGAATCTCTCTCGGCGGGCTGCAGCTTTCATTCTGTGGTCTTGCCGCGACCTCCCCCTGGGCGCTTCAGCGCTCTCTCTAAAAGAGTGTTTCCAAAGAT